TGATGCTGCTCAAGAATTTTATAATTTGCGGAGTCGGACAGGTTTCCTGCTGACTATTACAGAAGCTTTTTACCCATTTTCTAGGATGAGAAAAATGTGTATTAAATATGTTCAAGAAAAAAGTATTGTATTTATGTCTGGCACTTGGCTGCTTTCCCTGTATCTACTTTATATTTATATAGCGCCAAACTTGAGGATAAGCATAACTCCCGTTTAATATAACCCGCTGACTCTATCAAAAATTGGCATTTATTGTTTGCATTGGCCTTACGATAATGTTAGCTTAATTTTATTCATACAAATTCTTAAAAGTTGGCGCCAACACAAAACATCTGATCTCGATAAGTTATCGATAACCCTTGCAGTGTTAGAATAACAGCTGGTTAACAGCGCACATCGCCTTAAAAGCATCTTGCGCCCGCACTTATTCTTTAGTCATGAGATATTTTCGTCGGAAGCGGTCACAAAATTTTCAAATCTTAAAGGCAAGCAATAAGTAATAAGTCTTAATTTAATAAAGCTGCATGTAAAATGCGAATACTATAAGCATCTAGAGAAATTTACTTTGCCTTAACTGCGCATTCAAGTGGTGTTTTTTTTTTGTTTTTATTTGCTGAGGTTTCATACATTGGTTTACATGGGCAAGAAAATTGGATATGCGTTTATGTATGTGCACCAAAAAAAATGTTGTGCGGTCGATGCCCTTAAGTCCCTTTTTGAATTTCCGAAAGATAACCAAAATAATTGGCAATTTCAATAATATAATAAATATATTTTAAAACTGCAGGCCTGGGGTTGTTATAATAGCATCGCCGGAACGTTCGCGTATTTGAAGTGGTGAATGGTTCTTAATCTTTATATTAATTTAACTATTATTGTTGTTAACTTATAATCATAAACATAAATCTGATAATGAAGTTCATCATTAACTTTTGAAGAATGTATTGTTATTGTTTACTCACGCGGCCCCCTATTCGAAACTCGTTTCAGTTTACGTATAATTTAATATTTGTTTGTTTAATATTCTTTTACATCGTCGATTAGAATAAATAAAATAAATAACACTACGCAACAAATCATGCCTGCTTTTTCCGTGATAATGGAATTTAATAGTTTTCAAAAATATTTTTGAGATAGTCTTTAAAGTGATTTCACATAGAACACCATTACTTGTGATCGTGATGTTTATGAAAAGCTAACTAATGATTTTTGGCATGTTAACTGGAAAGTCTATAGTTTTATTGTTTATCCATAGATTTTAGAAAGCAAGTGCTTGTTCTACGTGTATTAAAGGTGTGAAGCCAGTCTGTCGGATGTATTTGGGATTTTCATGCATTTTTCCAAAAAATTGTTACAAAAAATATATATATATATATTTTGGACTTATTTATAAACGGTTTAGTTGCTTTTCATAAGCTTAATAATCAGTTAAGTGGATTATAATTTTCACAAACAATAAATGCATAATGTAAAAGAGTTTCCAACTTTGCCGGCTCATGACCGTGTTTTTTAAACAGATTAAGCAGTATCTCTTATTAATCTCTTTTAATTAACTTGAACATTTTAAATATCTACAATTTTGTAAAATAATATTTATATTTTGATAAGTACATGTGCTGCAGAGCTGCAGAAACTACGTTTATAAATACCTTAATTAAAAACATCATAAACTTATCTATTTACCAATAATTTCAATAGAATATATATCAGAATATAAAAAAATTATTTTGTAGTATTAATCATAAAAGTTTCTATTTTAGCTCATAATATATTATCATGTCAAACAGTGCTGCGCCACAAAGCCCCCAGAACCGTGTTTATATAAAAAATGGCCAAGTTGTCAATCACGACCGGTCCTTTAAAGCTGATGTTTATATAGAGGATGAAATAATTAAGTATGCAATGGAATACATTTAGCATCGAGAAAGTATTCACATTTAATTAACTCAACTCAACTACAGATTCGTGGGACCCGCTGCTGATATCACGATACCAGATGGTGTGCGCACAATCGATGCCAGCGGAAAGCTGATAATACCAGGTGGCATTGATCCACACACGCATTTGCAAACACCCTTTGACAATGCGGTGACCGTCGATGAGTAAGTATCCTAAAGTAAAGTACTATAATTTTTAACTAAGTATAAAAATATGTTTGCAATCAAAACTAGTTTTTATCATGGAACCAAAGCGGCTGTAGCTGGTGGCACGACCATGATAAGTAGGTATTCCCTATACGATATCCGAATATTATAAATCATACCATGATTTTATTTCCAATATTAGTTGACTTTGTATTGCCCAACAAAAACGAGTCCATGATCGAGGCATATAACAAGTGGCGCAGCTGGGCTGATCCCAAGGTTTGCTGTGACTACGGACTGCACATAGGCCTTTCTTGGTGGTCCGACACGGTATCCGAAGAGATCGGCATACTCTGCAAAGATTTGGGCATCAATTCATTTAAGACCTATATGGCCTACAAGGGAACGTACCAGTTGAACGACTCGGAGCTGTTGGACGTTTTTGAGCGCATTAGAAGCTTGAATGCCGTGGCTATGGTAAGTTGAGATTAAAGTTTGAATATATTAGTCAGCTTTTTATATATTTTTAATTTTATTTCAGGTGCATGCTGAGAATGGTGATATTATTGCCAAGAATGAAAAACGCTTGCTAGCCCAGGGCGTAACTGGACCCGAGGGTCACGAGTTGTCGAGGCAGGAGGAAGTTGAGGCTGAGGCCGTTCATCGTGCTTGCATTTTGGCTCATCAGGTGAGCCAAACAAGATTTTACTACCCTAGTAGTAAAAGTCGTTGTTGCTTATACCCTGCTATCTTTAATCAAGGTTCTTGTACATCTTTAACATGCACCTTAACATGCAGTTTTATTTATGAACAGAATCTACCTGACAAAGTGCTTAATCTTATTAAAAATGTTTTCGTTTGAAGATGACTAAAGTAGACCAGCCTTGCTGATTTTCTTAGATGAAGTTAATTTAATCCTTAGGGTATACTTTAGTACAGCTGTCACCAAATATACAATGAACCTGAGACAACAAACTATAAATGTTTGCATTCAATTAAAATTTAAATTTTGTTATAGGTCGATTGTCCACTTTATGTGGTCCACGTTATGAGCAAATCGGCTGGCATTGAGATAGCTCGCGCCCGTCAACGCTATAGTGAGAAATATATATTTGGTGAGACCTTAGCATCTGGACTTGGTACAGATGGCACTAACTATCGCTGCCAGCATTTTGACCATGCGGCCGGGCATGTGATGAGCCCGCCCTTGCGACCCGACAAGACAACTCCCGAGTTTCTGATGAAGCTGCTGGCCAGGTTAGTCAAGACTTAGCTTAAGAATGTGGTTCAACTCTTACTAACTTTTGCTTAGTTTGTTTTTGTTTCTATTGAACCCTACTTTTGAAACCCTGAAGCCAAGTTATATTATCGTGTTCTATATTTCGCAGCGATGCTCTTCAGACAACAGGCAGTGATAATTGCACGTTTACCAAAAAACAAAAGCAACTTGGCTTGGGAGACTTTACCAAAATACCTAATGGCATTAATGGGCTGGAGGATCGTATGTCGGTCGTGTGGGAGAAGGGTGTGCATTCGGGTCTCTTGGATCCGTGCAGATTCGTGGCCGTAACCAGCACAAATGCCGCCAAAATATTTAATATTTACCCAAAGAAGGGAATTATCGGTGAGTATATATAAATAAAATCAATTGAATTAAATGAAATAAATAATAAAAAAAAAATGTAAAAATGATATTACACTTGTTTCAGAAAAAAACACACAATGTATTAGAATATTTAATATTATCAAGCATGAAATTAAAAAATTGAGGTTTTTTCAAAATTATAATGTAACCTTATATACCAAATATGAAAATTGCCCGCTCTCTTAAGGATAATCAATTTTTTTAAATTTCTAATAACAAAACTATTGAAATACCATACAATATTTCTTTAATATATAAAAATCATTTATTTTAAGCCGTCGGTTCAGATGCCGATATTGTTATCTGGAATCCGCAGGCGACACGCACCATTTCCAAAGACACCCATCATCATGCGGGCGATTTCAATATTTTTGAGGTAGTTAAAGTCCAATATTGCAAGCCTTTAATCATATATATATTCCAACCATAAAGGGCATGACTGTTCATGGTGTTCCCGAGTATGTTTTGGTGCGCGGACGCATCTGTGCCGAGAATGGATCAGTTCATGTTTCCAGGGGCTACGGACGTTTCGTAGCGACGCCCTTGCGACCGCCTTTTGTTTATGACAGTATTGAGGGCAAGCAGGAGCCGGAGGTCGAGGAACAAAATACCAATGTGGCTAAAAAGAAAGCCGAACTGTACTCTTACCTTGCTGCTCAAGAGCCACCGTCTACTAAGTTCGCTCTTAACTCAACTCCCATGTCGCCAGAGGCAGCTGATGGTAAGTGGGATCTGCAGGAATCATTCTTGGCCATAAGCAGTATGTTGTGCAGCAAATTAATATTACCTTTTATTCTATTTTGTTGCAGAGGCAAAGAATCCACCTGGCGGTAAGCCTTCTGGTTTTTGGTAATTGGAATCAAAGATGTCGCAAAATGGAAAAAATAAGATAAGTTCCTATCGTTGACTTCTAATTATTATATGCATTTCCAATGATTAATGTGTGTGCTCTGCAAAAGACGTCGATATAAGTCTTATAGCTAACTGAGTAAAATAAAATCAAATAGAAAGAGTTTACGTATTCATTCTGAGATCACGAAAAATATCGACAGGTACCTGCTGGTACAGGTGTTATACATCTCAGGTGGGATTAAGTGCTTCAATTTAAATCTTTTCTATCAGTTTTTCTAATTTTAAATGTCGTTCAGACAAAAATGGAATAGAATTCATTCAAGCTCTTAGGGTCTGAGTATCAGAAATCAATCCAAACTAGATTCCCATTACAAAAAAATATATATATAAAAATTATACATCATTAACTGAGTAACCCATTCATATTTGTTAAATTTCTTCAAATCTGCTTTGTGTTTTCATTATCTGTTCCACATTCAATGTTTAGCAATCTAAATAAACAAGTTACAGCCAAATTTCAAAGTGCGCGAAACAAAGTTGCCAGCAAACCGAATCAGCCCAAGCCCACGCCCGCAACAACAATCATGCCTGTGAGATCCGCAAGGACGGGAACAGCCATTGACTTGTCAAGCAGCCAGATTAAACCCGGCACAAAGTCGTCGTCGGCAACAATGCCGAGGAACCATGGGAAGCCCCAACCGGAACCGCAGCCCACTAAGCCGCTAGCTAAATCAACAACCAGCTGCACTGCATCTGAAGGCGAACAGAGGCTTAAAATTAAGTCTGCAAATAACGTGTCGTCGAGAATGCGCGCAGAAGCTGCCACGTTGCCGAGGAACTCGCAGCCCTTTCTATTGAGCAAACGCGTCTTTCGCCCCTCCGCCTCCAAAGTCTTTGACTATGATCTATCCAAGGAGGAGAAACATTACTTTGGCCAATATCACAATCCCATGAAATCTGTGCCGGCAGAAGAGCTGCAGCTGCTGAAAACGGGACAACGTACAACATACTTGGAGACACGCTACGGACACACACCAGATGCTAAGTACAATTATCCGGAGGCAACCAGTTGGCGATACGGTTGGTTCCATCGCAAGGATGCTCTCAATTAGGGCGAGAAACTGGCTGGGATCGTCTTTGGCGATAGCTGTCGGCCGCTGGCATTAAATTGTTGTCATAGCTTGACTATCCATTATCCAAAGAAATCCGCATTTATTAGAACCATCCGAATTTTCTACATTTATACTTTTTGCACTATTTTTCACCATTACTCTACGTTTTGTAGCAAAACCCTATTTAAAGAGTCTTCTCATATTTCTAATTTGTATCGGACCAAAATTTTAGAAAGTGTAACATTTTTATATTTATACTGATATATATATATATATAAGCATGTATAGAAGAAGAGACCATAATAAAGGAAACCAGCACAATACACGTTTATACTCAGTAAACTTTGCTGCATCGCGTTATAAGCAGAGTTTAGCCAAAAAATAAACTATATTTCCTACTATGTTCCAAATGACCGATTCTTTGGCTTTAAGCAAACAATTTGATAGAAAATTGCAACTCCACCTCAAACCATATCAATTTTAAACTAACTATAAAAATTATAAATTATAAACACAATTTTAAAAATTCAGATATGATAGTATACAGGAAATTTGGAGTATTGAGCTTTAATCAGCATTTTTCATTCATTTAATGATTCAGAAGTTCATTAAATTGAAAGGATTTTAAACAACTAACAGTTCGGTTTCTCATTTGTATTGGACAAGAGATCAAATTTGGCATAAACTTAAAAACTTAGATATGATATATTGCTTATAAAGGTTCTTTAACCCACCTAAATCTAATGCTTATTAGTGACTGAGTTGCTCTGCTTTTAACAATAACTTAAAATAAATTATGTCGATTACATACGCACAAATACTTACAAGGCAATAACAAGCCCAAATCGTCTTATAATTCGCAACTAATTTAAGCTTGTTTAAATTTGTAAGCTTAAGCTTGTCATAATAGGCCAAATATTGAGCATTTATATATTATTGCAGGTTGTACTTTAAGGACCTGCAACGATTTTACTTGATTTTTTCGCCAGCCCAAGGGTCAGCCTTCTGATTTCCAAGGCCCAATAGAGCACCGCCCATTTTCCACTCCTGCGCCCCTTTTCTGCTCTATCAGCGATTTTTATATGCGGGTAGTGTATTGCATTTTGTGCTGTGGTGCGTCGGGCATTTAAAGTGATCCAAGCACCGAAGTCGTCTCCGAGTGTTTTAGCTACTCATTGCGGGTCTCTGAAGCTTTTGATTTTGATTGACTCATGAGAGTACGCAAGTTTTGAATTGTGCTGTAGCATTTGTGCTTTGTTTTGGGAAAGACAAATGCTGCTTTATTTAATTGAGATAGAGTTGAGCAGCCAGCATACGCTTGGCATTCTTACTATCCACTTTATTAACTTTATTTCATGAGGAACCACTTTGAATTTGCTTGTCGTCTGCTACGGCTTCACGCTGATTGTCTGCAATTCAAGGCAGCTTTCGAATGTCATTGTTGCACTCCAAGCACATTTAGACGGACAAACTTTGGCACCCTCCTCCCCACTCCTCCTCGCCTCGAACAGACACTTGGTAGAACTAGTTTTAAGCCATCCATGCTTTTACAAATGCCACTCTCGTCTCGTCGCCCCGTGCCCCTGATGTTGTTATTGTTGAGTATTGCCTGATTGCAAACAACAATTCTCACTTGGCCCGCAGCTCCCAATGGAGCTGAAGTTTATTATTATTTGGCTTGTTTCACAATTTTCCATGGTTTTATTTACCTTTAAACACATTTTACTTTAGTCTTATTTGTTGCATCGTTCGAGTTTTATTTGTGTTCCATATCATCGATGGCCAAACTTGAGTATCCAATATTTACACAATTGCTTAGCTCTGTTCGCTGTCTGTCATCGGCCCCTCGGCCAGGGATTTGTAAATGATTGGAACATTAATGATTATCTTCATATCACTAGGGACCATAAAGCAGCTAAATCTAAAGCACAATTGCCATGATTGGACAGCTGAGCTGTATAACAGTATGACAGTCAGCATAACAAACAATATAACAGATATGATATTAGTCAGACTAATAGTCAATCTTACATTCAAAATAGTGATCTGTAGAACATTCAAAGTTGTGGTCAGTATAACAGTTTATTAATATAGCCGTTACAAATTATAACAGAGTATCTGCGTTAAGTGGACTTATTACTTTTGCATACGCCCATGGTGGTATACTAATCTATTAGTATATTACAATCTACTGTATATCCATTATATAAGTGTAACAGCATCACAACAGTAAAACAGTTAATTAATTTACGGGCTTAGTAGTCTAACAGTTTAAAAGTATATCAGTATACCAGAAAATAGGATTACCATCAATATAACAGTATAGAAGCATCATGGTTTTATGAGCCTTTTGCAGTACAAATATAGCAGTTTGACAGCATAATATATTATTGTCATTTTAATAGTATATTAGCATCATCTATAACACTCGTTGGAACATTGAATTTATCTATGCCCTTAGCTATATAACAGCATGCAGCCAATATAGCAGTAATACTTACATTATAATACTCACTGGAAGAGAAACTTAGTAGTATAACAGTTAAGCTAATATAAAAGTTAGGTGACCTTACAGAAAAACAGCTCACCAATGCATCTGTAAGGCTGGTATAACAGCTTCGCAAAAATATTGTTTTACTCTATTAAAATGGGATTGGTCATTGGTATGTCAAGGGGTAATGGCAGAGCAATTGAAAGGGTAAATCATAATTTTTGCATTGCTTTCGCCCCGCCACCCCTCTGCCAACCTCTATTCCAAATACCATGCCCTAGCCGAAGTGCATTAAATTTCTCGAGTAAAATTTCAAGAGAATTTATGGGTCAGTGGTTTAGCTGCAAAGTTACGGAGTTTTTGCACATTTTGTGGTAATATTTATTAGTTTTATTGCCCAGCATATGGATACTGTTATTGTTTTGTTTTCTTTTCTACATTTTTTGGCAATTGCTCAAAACTTATTCGGTTGAATCGCCCTCATCCTCTCCAACCGCTGTAAAATTTGGTTTTGCGGTTGCTACGAGAGAATCACAGCTAGCTCTGGTGAAGGACTGAGATTGGTTAAATAAAGAGAACGGAGCGCTCATACCGCATATGTACTTAGAGCTGATAAAGAATTCAAGTTGGAATTTGCAACTTTTTAATCTGAAATTTTAATTTAAAACCAGACATATTTCTGTTCTGTGGCACTAAAAAAAATTGTACGTAATACGAAATTTACAAAGTCCATAAAAATAAAACCCGAGATTGAGTTTGATGGTGATTCTTTTTTATTTGTTTTTTTCACGATATATAGTTCTTATGACTGTCATTTAATAAGAACTTAACTGAACATCAAACACAGTGCGTATGATATTTATATTATTTGACGAATAAACAGGAAAGTTGACCACGCCATAAAACAATTAAGGATTACTCTCCACGTCGGATGTCACTGGGTATCCTTATTGTAAAGAGTGCAAATTCAAATTTACATAATTTATGTGTATACTAACTTGTTTTCACTTTATTTCTTATTGCAAAACACTTTTATAAATTGTTATCTAATTTGGTTAAGCGTACATTTATTATTGTTAAAAATAAAGTATCACGTGGTTTTGATTTTTTCCTTTTTTTCGTATTTAATTTAATTTGTGATTTCACTTCAAAGTTTTCATCTGATTTCAAATCGTTTTCCATTGTTTTTTTTCGTTTTAAATAAGAGTATATTAGAAATAAATCGTAAATTAAGATTTCGCTTAATGATCACAATTGCAAATATTGTAGAGCCAAGTAGTTGATTGACCAGCACATATGGATGAGTACATATAAAACTAGCGCGGTAAAAAAAACGAAGTAAATATTTTAAGGTATTTGCTGATTTTATATGATACCCAAATGGTAAAAGATTGTATTTATAGTAAATAGTATTTGAGTTGTGCAATTTTTTGTTACACATACTTAATACAGCCTCGCGAATAGGAGCTTCTGCCTAGGATCAATCTAAATACAGTTTCTATGGAATTGCTGTTCTAGCTAACTTTTTGTGATAATAATATATTTAATAGAATCGCAATCAAATCGTTATGGACATAGGGTAGACAACCTGTCTACTTTTCCCTAGGCTTGTTCTGGGTTAGCTCCGGTTTAATCTTAATTAACGCGTTCGCCTTTGGCTTTGCCGGTCAGATCAACTTCTTGGGGGCGACTGAACCGGAAGCGCTATTCGCCGCCGCCTTTGTTGAGGTCGCAACTTTTGACTGGGTCGCCGTTGGTGTGGGTATCGTTGGCGGCAGATCGATATCGTTATCTGGCAATAGCTTCTCTATTTGGCGCTCAGCCGCTTCACGTAATGCTGCCTTTGTGGCTGAATTACTGTTGTCTGCGTCGCTGACCCTGCTACTGCTGCTGCTGCTGCTGTTGCGTCCAGTACCGCCTGATACTTTGGGGGGCGATAGGGGCGAGTCTGGTCCCTTTTTGTTGTTATTTGAGCCTTTCGCCATCAAATCGCCCAGCTCCTTGGCATTGTCCTTTAAAGTTTTAGCAGCGTCCTTCACATCGGGCTGTAACGAAAATAAGTTCAATTAAATTAGAACATTATCCGTTTGGATTCTAAAGTACTAATTATTTACTTCCGCCTTTAGCTGGTTGTCCCTGTCCTGATCCATTGCCCCTAGTTCGGTGGCTATATCACGTATCTCCTTTGCAGAATCATGTATACCGTCTACAAGCTTGGCCATATCCTTATCGGTTTTCTCCACCTCCATTTTGAGTTTCTCTGCTTCCTTCATGCTCTTTGCAATCGCCTTCTCGATCTTTTGCTCTGCTTCCAGTATCTGTTCCTTGTCCAGTAGAGTTATAAGCTCCTCAATGGCCTTATCGCTAAGCTTGATGTTATCGCGACCAATGGACTCCAACACCTATAAGATTCCTTGAGATTAATTAGAGCTCACGGTACTTGGAAACGCATTACTTACCTTGCGTATTTCGTTGACTGTAACGACGCCATCTTTGTCTGCATCAAACTTGTCCAGCACACTTTCGATGTGCTTGAGACGGGCCTCATCGCTGGTCTCCTTCAGTTTCTTAATGTTCAGCATAAGATCGTCAATATGCACGATCTCCTCGTTGCGTCGCTTCGTCGCCTGCTTGGTGAGCAGCTCAGTGAACTCTTCGAGCTGTTTCTTGTCGATTTTAGTTGCCTTGCTATCAATGCTTTGCACCACTTTGGTTATCTCATTGACTGAAATTGCACCATCTTTGTCGACATCCAATTTGACTAGCAAATCTTCAACGACTTTGAAACGTTCCTCATCGGAGGCCTCCTTCATGCGTCTGATGGTGGACACCAGTTCGTCTATGTGCACCATTTGACAAGGATTGGGGGCTCCAGCTACAGCTTGATCGGTGGTATCCACCTGCTTAATCTGTTGCTGACGATGCTCCAAATCGTTAAGCACAGTATCCAGCTGCGAGATCATTTTGTTGACACGATTATAAAGAAGCTTGGCAGCTCGACTCTCGCGCACAGGCTCCTTGACCACCTGTCGCACTTCACGCAGCTCCTCGACATCTTCCTGATAGTCGCGCAGCTCCTCCTTAAGTTCTTTGATCGTCTCTTTCTCCACAACAAGCTGTTTGTCTGACGATAGAGTCTTCAACGCATCCGAGAGCAGTTGCACATCCGTCGGTGAGATGGTCTTCTCATTACATGCAACTGTCTCTTCGTTCTTTTCCATCAGATGAGTCACCTTTGCAATTTCCTCGGTGGAAACATATGGCGGCGCCAGTTCATCCTTGATGGCCGATCGCTTAGCGATTGATTCTTCGTCTTCCTCTTCGCGTTCTTCGCGAATCTTACGCTCCTCTTCTTTGATGATCTCAATCTTCGTCTTGTTATCAACCTTACCCTCACGCTCACCAATCGCATGACGTGTATGTGCAGCCACTGCATCCGGAAGCACGCGCATTGTCTCCTTCAGCTTATCCGTCGTAATGCTGTCATCAGAGATGAGCATTGCACGTGACAATAATAGCAGAGTGGGTGGCACCTAAAGATAAGGCGTACACCATTAAAATATAATAAACTAGCAATCTATCTTTGATTATACCTGTTCGTTCAGCGACAAATCGATCCATTCCTTGAGCTGGAAGCGTAAGCGTTCCGCTGTAAGACCATAGGCACGCATACCACGTGCCTTGCACGCCTGCTGCAGCTCAAAGAGATCGAGCGAGTCAACGCCTTCGCGTGATATCACACGATCATCGGTAGCCAATGAGCGAAGCTTGAGCCGCAGCTGGAAGCGCAATAGGGTTGTTGTGCCAATCGTGTTCAGCTCCAGTACACGGCAGAGAGCAGCAAGCTGCTCCCGACTGAGCGAATCCAGTGTGATCTCATCATCGAAACGTTTCGCAAATTTGATTATCTCATCGTTGCTCACTTGTTCTGTGGGATTGCGGATCTTGCGAAAGAACATCTCAAACTGTTTAGCCTCCTCGCTGCAGTGCTCCTTGTGCTGCACGGGCATTTGGCCAAGCGTTTTCTGTAAAAACTTGGCAACCTCGAGGCGGACGGCCAGCGACTGCCTTAAGCGCTCTTGACGATCCTTTGCCGTTTGAAAAGTGGAGGGTAGCATTCCCGGAAAGAATTTAATAAACAATGGCAATAGCAGCTCCATGAACGGAACTATAACAAAAACAGAAAACGGTATTAAGCGGAACAGATCCGATGTCGTACGCTGCAATTGTTTATTCTCGCGTCGCGTCAGAGTCTTGCCATTGAGGACAAGCCAAAGCAGCTTCGTGCTAATTGCCGTGTCGATGAATAGTAACCGGAAGCCATGGTAATAATGCACCAGTTCATCCCAAATGCGCTGCTGAAGCGGCTTCTTGGGCTTAGCTACAGTTTTGGGTGCAGCCTCTGTTAATTCAGTCGCCGACTTTGTACCAGCTGGTGTCGCTTTCGATACTGTGCTGGCGTCTAGAGCGGCACTGTCGGGGCTGATGGAGGTCACCGGGGCGACCGATGCCGTTTCCTTTGCAACTTGCCCATTGGCCACTTCCTTCATGATCTCTTCGACCTTCTCCTTTTGCTGATTCTTCAGCTTCTTCACAGTCGCATCAATCTTCGAGCACGATTCAAAGAGCGTGCGATCGACGTGAAAATGCCGGAATCCATGTCCGGAAAAATTATGTTGACGATAAACATGACGCTGACTGGAGTTAAGTGAATGGTCATTTAACGTTCTCCTTTGCCGAATGTTCCATGGCTGTGAAGAAACTGAATCTTCCGCGTAGGACTGGCCTTTAATCGTTGCACTGTATGCATAATAGTTCGTTCTAAGATCTGCAAGGTAAGGCATAAATAAAATCGGTTAAAATGGGAAGAAGGAAAATAGAGCGTATGAAAAATAGTAGAGAAGCATTAGACGCTATTAAAATTACAATCATTATTAGATTAATAAAAAGAAAATAGTATTTTCATGAAGAAAAAAACAATTCAACACTTTAAAAACCTTGCATCTATAAACATGTTATTCTACTTGAATTCTTTAAAAAAATAACATATCAATTTATAATTAACATTTTGCTATAACTAGAAAAACCTCTCGAATCCCACCGTTCCAATTTGTATTTATATTTGTATGTGTTTATTTATGTGCATAAGCCCCACAATATATAACTTTTTTCAAGGTATGGCGAAAAACAAAAGGAAAATTGATTTTGAATAGCCGGCTAACTGCATAAGCACAACAATAACAATAAAATAAACTCTTTATTGACAAAAGCGAAAACTTGTCAAGCGATACTCAAAAAGTTCGTTCCACTTGATTACGCTAGATAAGCCAGCCGAAAAAAATTAACACCTGTTGCGGTTGTTGTCGTTAAAGCTAGACGTAAGTAAACTTATATAATGTGAAAAAAAAAACAAAGCAAATAATATAATGTGCAAAGCGAAATAGTTCAATGGTTAAAAACATTCTAAGGAAAATCTACTCAATGCACTTTCAGTTTTGCTTTACGTTGTGTTATTCAGTTTCTATATTTGGCAAGTGTTCAAAACACAGGCGAATTCATCAAATGCGAATTCAAGGTAAAAACATACTGCGTAAATGTAAAGAAGAAGCGGGGTAAAAGAGGGGGAAATGCAGCAGCTACAGCGAAAGCGAAATGCATACAACCTTCGGGCATTGGCTGAGCGAATTGAGTGGGTGCATTTGACCCGTTTGCTAACTGTACTCTATTTCGGGTAGAGCATACAGGGTGTTTATTTGTGCGTTGGCATCATTCGCTGGCGTCATTTTGTCTGTCTGTGCACCTGTGCGCTTGGCACTTGTCCCTTTTTCTTGCTATATACAATGACCACATGCATACATACATACATGTATGTACATATATACACTTCTATTTGTTGTATAAATTGGGAGATGAACAAATACAAGAAAATTGCTTTGCAAGCAACGAAAACTGATCGCGCATTCACTGTGGTGATAACTCTGGTAAAGGCTTATCGCATGGTACCTGCATAAGTCAGTCCGTTTATATATTTACTTTTTTGGTCAATCTAGCTTCTTAACAAGACGATAAGCAGTCTCATGTGACGCTTTTTAACCAAGAAGTCATAGGAAGAAAAAAAAAATGATATATTTATATATGCGCCACCGATAACAACACAAACGAAACAGCCGGTATATTTACTGCGTTCATGCACCGGCAAATATATATCAGTTTTCGCACTAAACCTATTGACAAACTCAATATACTCCCCGCAAAGCATAGTCAAAACAAAACGAATTTTCATTTAATTACTTGATTCAGGGAATTTCCTTGCTACGCTACTCAAAAGTACCAAAACAAGCGCAACAGGGAAATTTAATTGTCCCAGGTGCATGCAAACATTGAATCAGCTGTGCACGAATATGCAGTCATAACAAAAGCTGCGATAAAAGAAACGCGAACAAAAAACACATCGCCACACACATAAGCATATATACAGATATCTGAGCTCATATACACACACACGCACACACATTCATGCCGCGAATATATGGGGTAAAATCAATGGAAAGTTTTTATGCGTTCTGATTTTGGTTTTTTTGTTTGCGTGATTACAGACTTACAGCGCTTGTAGAAATTCTGAAACATGTAATGCGATTTCAGATGCATTGATCCTTTGGGATGCAGCAGTAAATTCATGTTGTTTGTTTATTGTTGTATTTGTAGGGGGGGTGCTGTCGGAGGGGTACGTCTGCCAATCCAGTTCCAAAGTTCTCCAATGTAAATAATTTTGAATTTCCGAATCACTGTCTACTCTGTGTATCTTTGGATTTGTTGTTGTCGTTAGATGCGCATGAGAAATACGTTGGTTTCTCAATTTACGCCTAAAATTATAAGCAAAAGAGTACAATAAGATTTGTAAATAGTCATGCCGAAAAATAAATGCACGCTTTACTAATGTCAAAAATAAATACATAAATGTAACTGTCAACGCTCACTCGCTCTTTTCAGTTCGAACAGCGCAATAGAGATATCACACACTCACGCAACCACACTCATACGCACGGAATTTTGCGATATCAGGCGATGTTTCATTGTGTTTGTTGTTGTTTTCTGCTATTCGCACTTTTCAAAATATTACACAACTACAGCAACAAATTTCAAATTATTGTTCTATACTAATTCAACACCCCGTTTGTTTAGCATATTCGGTGCGCCATTACCATTAAAGTTATATTCACGTTTTTGATGCGACGCTCTATTCGCCGTATTTTCGTACAATGTCGTCACTCAGATTCTTTTAAATATGTTTGTTATTCGCAAGCGGTTTGGTCGCTCTTACTTCCACGCTTTTTTATTTTACTTTGTCTGTGGATGCACAAGTGTGACCACATTTCAAAAGCGCCATAATACTTCATATAGCAGCACTGGTTTTCATTGTGCAAATAATATCGCTGCGATACGTATTGTTGATTTATCGAAAATTATCGGGTGTTGTTGAACAATTGGTTTTTATTTCAAATGGCAGAGTATGAAAATTTATAACGATAATGTTGTTGGAACATGGTTGGCACTGGGAGCTTTTTTTAATTTTAATTGAAAAGGCTGAAAAACATGGACTGTACTTCAAAGTATTTTTAATCAATATTTTTTTATATACTTCTGATTTTTGTATTGGCATTGCTAAGCCAACCAATTCTTAAGCTCATAAAGCATTAAAATATTTTAAAATTTGAATTTACATGCCCCAATAATGATAATAAGCTTTAAGTAATAGCTGTATTTGTATGTACAGCTATTGAAAATTAATTACCACATAATGGTAAAAACGTAGAGCTCCTGCTACGTAAAGCGTTTCTGTCGCATCGATTAATTGTTGTGATATAAATCTGTCATTAAATTAAATTAAGCTGCCCGCTGCGCAGATACTTGGTTTGATTTGCAATAAAAGGGGATAATTGGTTGTGATTTTCGCCATTTGCAAAACAATTTTTGTTAGTAACTGTCTTTGGTGATAAAATGTTGCAAAACATTCAACTCTATTTCTTAATAATAGCCTGCTTAGCTAAGGCACAAATGGAGTTTCCGAGCAGGATATTGAACGATCTAAAAGTCGAGCTTGGCTATGAGTCTATACTATTATTACAAAATTCCTCGGATTGTTGGATCGATTTGAAAGCGATTTCCGAAACACCGATAATCAACTTAAATGCAAATCAAGAGTATACACTTCGAAGCCAATTTAAAAGACGGTTTCTAGCATTGGTTTGTGTGGAATATGAAAATTCGACGGTATTAAACGCGCTCTATACAAATCTTGAGAATATGCGAGACACGGCAACCATATTTATGATTAACCATAGAATCGATTTTCAGGCTTTGTTAAGGAATTGCTTGAAGAACCGTATGCTCAATGTCCTGGCTATAGCTACTTGGAGTCCCGGGCATATTTACAGCTATCGGGCCTTTCCTCGGTTTACAATGGTCAAGCGAAGCATTTGGCAAGTGGAACGCTACTTTGAGCCACAATTGAAGGATATGGGTGGTTATCCTATAGTCACCATGGCAGACAACGTGTTTCCACGTACTGTTGTCTACAAGGACGCACAAGGACATTATCAGCTGTTCGGTTACCTGACGACATTTATGGAAAACTTTGCCAAAACTTTAAACGCAACTCTTAAGATTTCTTGGGACCAGAAGCCTCGGGACAACGAGGTTGTTAAAACGAAAAAAATTACGCGCTTGATAAATACCGGCACAGTGGATATACCGGCGATCATTATCAATATTGCACTGGACCCCGATTTCCTGAACTACAGTCATGTGATGGAAATATCTAAATGGCAGCTAATGCTGCCCCTCGAATCAGAGATCGACCGTGCATCGCTGGTCTTTGGTGGTGGAAGCCGATTGCTGTGCGTGGTCGGGTTGGGTTTCATGTACCTGTTTGCCCTGCTGCTGCATAATATTAATCGCCTGGAATTGGGCATGGCGCCCAGTGCATGGTGCTTGGGGGCGTTAACCGATCCCGTGCTTAGGGCCATGCTTTATCAGACAATATTGATGCCAAGACGACCTAGCCTGAGGCTTAAATACACATACATGCTGCTCCTGTTGTGCAGCTTCGTATGCTACAATACCTATATTTCTCAGCTGGAGACGATACTGGTGTATCCCCTTACAAAGCCACCGATACGCAGCTACCAGGATATGCGCCGGGTTGGCCTCAAGGTTATGTTGGCAGATCCTGACAAGCGTGCCATGCTCAATGCCATTGGCCAACACGTACTAAGCACTAATTGGGACCTCCATGAGCTGGTCGACAGCGCTGTGTTCCAGGCCATGCGCTGCCTGCCAAATGCGTCATATGCCTATCCAGTTACCCAAACGATGTGGCCCTTCATAGAACGCAAGTTCGCCAGACAAATTCGGGCACCTTTTCGCCTCTCCAAAGATTTCACATTACTTTCGCTCGTTCCCTTTGCCATACCGCTGTCCAATGACTCCATTTACCATCAGGCCCTCAATCGTTATATTCTGGACACCCACGCCAGTGGCCTGTACGCTTTCTGGTATCGTCAGAACTACTATAAACTACTCAGTATTGGCAAAACGGAGGAGTTGCCCTACAACAATTTCAGAAGCAACTGTCTTTTAAGCTGGACAGATCTATACTACCTTTGGCTAATTTACATATGCAATGTTTGTCTTTCTCTCGTTATATTTGCTTTTGAGCTTTTGATGAGAAAGCAGTTGGTATCAAATGGAGATAAATCCAATAAAACGAAAGAGTGAAAAGCTTTTTTGGAAAAAGTTAAATGATAAAGAAACCCAATTATTTAGTCAGAATTTACTTTCAATATAAAATAATATTTATTATAAATGTGTAAGCAATGAATAAAGTTTAAAGCACTTTAAAAGATGTCCTAGTAGCAAGTATTATGGAGAGGGGCTTAAAAAATATTTTTTAAAAATATACTTTAATGATGTCGGATATTTAAGGGATTCCTACAAATCTAGAAAAAAATAAAATTTATCGATCTTGCTCTAATAAAGAGCCAGCATGTAAAAAATTAAATAATAAAGCTGAGATCCTTCATTCAAATCCAGTTTCTGTATCTCTTATAATCCCAAAGATCGACACGTTCAAGCAGACAGATAGACTCATAGACGGACAAACAGACGAGGCAGGATCGATTCAATTAATCGTGCTGATAGATATATATGTATATATATAGAACTTATTTGAGTGCGGAATGCATCCCTTCATAATATCCTGATTAACCATTTCTTGGGTACAGGGTATAACCATTTATATCTTATACAAGAAAAATGTAATTTGTACCATAATTATAGTGCAATTTCTTTACATCGTTTCGCCAAAATAAATTAAATACTCAGAGCATAAAAGAATGCAAATTGCTTATCATAAAATGAAATAGAATTGAAAAAAATATATCTTTTATCATAATTATAATGACATTTCTTCAATAAATAAAATGGAAAAGAATAGAATGCAAATATTTATTATGAGACAATGAAGATATATTTTTTTTCAGGTTAGTTTTATCTGAAAGTTTTCAGTCCTTTGGGGAAAATATTGAGGGCTTGTGCAATTTCATGGATTCAATATCCCCAATACCGACTACTATGTAAAAAGCTGCTTCGGATGTTTAGATGACTTTGTCGACTCTGGTCTTAAGATGCGCGCATCCGCTGCTCTTTGCAGTTCCATTGTTCTTTGTTGTCTACTCTTGTTGTTTTGGCATTTCACTTGATATGATTAGTATTAGTAGATGCATATTTTTAGACTTAGCTAGTCCCGCTGGCAACGTCGCTTGATAATCGCGTTTTTATTAGGCTGACCGCTGGCCGACCCTCAGGCGATGCTGCAAAGAAAAATGAATAATAAGAAGAATAACAGCGGCTCAGAGTGCAATCAAGGTGCAGTGCCTAATAATGTCCAATCAGCAGGTGTTACCAGGCGTTGTAATAGCAGCTTATTATAGTCCCAACAACAAGTAAATCGATCGAATTTGCTGGAAGTCGGGCCTCCCAATCAATCCGCACTTAGATCTGACAGGTGCATGGAGCCCTTATCAATGCTAGCTGCAGCATTAAGCATTAAGGTGGAACGGATCTCTGATAATGTCAAGGCAATATCAGCAATCGGACGATGGCCCCATCTGGCTGCATATCTCTAAGCTGGAATCAGGTATAAATGGAGCCCGCAGCCAGCGTATTGCCATGATTACGATGAAGTCGATCACGGCGGTTGTTGTTCTGACGCTAGCTCTGCTGGCACTTGGTGGTCATGGCAAGCACATTGAGTTTAAGGTGGCCGACAAGGACTTTCTGGTGAAGCAGAAGTTCGTGTTCGAAATGCTGCAGCACATCTACCAGGACGATGTGTTCGTTACCAAGTTTGATACCAGCTTCTATGAGTACAAGCCCTGGGAGCATGTCAGCGACTATCATCATGTGGAGAAACTGGAGCACTTCTTTGAGCTCTGGCAGCATCATCCCATCCATGATGATCAGGTGTGGACGGTTATGTACGATCTGCATGAGGAGTATGCCGTTGGCCTGGTGCGTCTCTTCTACTTCGCCAAGAACTGGGAGACCTTCCAGCATGTGGTCTTCTGGGCCCGCCAGCATGTGAACAAGCAGCTCTTTGTCTATGCCTTCACCGTTGCCAGCCTGGTGCGCGACGATATGCAGGGTATTGTGTTCCCAGCTCAGTACGAGATCCATCCATGGAGCTTCTTTGATGGCCAAACTCTGGAGATGGCCGAGCACTACAAGATGCACGGTTTCCACCACGTCAAGCAGCTGAACAACGTTTACAACGTGGTACTCAAGTCCAACTACACGAACGTCCATGGCGATATGAACTACGAGCACGGTCTGGCCTATTTCCTGGAGGATATTGGCTTCAACAGCTTCTACTATTACTTCAACATGGACTATCCCTTCTGGGCCAAGGGCGATGAGACGCATATGTTGAACAAGGATCGTCGCGGTGAGCTCTATCTCTACGTGCACTGGCAGCTGCTGGCTCGCTACTATCTGGAGCGTCTGTCCAACGATATGGGTGAGGTGCCCACCTTCAACATGTACGAACCCGTCCACTCTGGCTTCTACAGCGGCCTGCGCGACTACAATGGCGTGCCGTATCCCAGCCGTTCCAACTATTACAACTTCTACACGCCCGAGAATTTGGAGTATGTGAAGGATGTTGAGATCTACACACACCGCATTATGGACTGGATCCACAAGAACACCAAACACGATGTCGATGTCGTCAACGTGCTCGGCAACATGATCCAGGGCAATGTGGACAGCATTGACAAGCAGTTCTATGGCAGCTTGGACAAAACGTTCCGCTACATTGTGAACGAGGGATATCCCTATAACGAATACCATGAAACCTACCCCGGCACTTTCATGCACTACGACACCTCCATTCGCGATCCTCTGTTCTTCGAGGTCTACAAGAACCTGCTTAGCCACTACTGGCATCTGATGGAAACCTTCCCAGAATACACCAAGGTCGACTACGGCTTCGAGGGTGTCAAGATCGATGCCGTTCACATGCCTGAGAGCCTCACCACCTACTTCGAATACTTTGACGCCGACATTAGTAATGCCGTCAATGTTGAGCACAGCGTGGAGCACACCACCGATGTCCACTATAAATTTGGCCGCAACTCCTTCTACAATGGCAGCAGCTTTGTGATCAAGGCCCGCCAGCATCGCCTCAACCACAAACCCTTCGAGTTCACACTGGACATCACCGCAGACAAGGCCCAGACCGCAGTGGTCAAGGTATTCATTGGACCCAAATACGATGAGTTCGGCCATGTGATCCCATTGGAGCACAACTATCAGAACTTCTTCGAGCTGGAGCACTTCAAGGTACAGCTGGAGACTGGCGTCAACCACATAAAGCGCGCTAGCGGCGACTTCAGCTTCTGGGTTAACGATCGCACCACCTACTTCGAGCTCTACCAGAAGTTGATGGATGCCACCAACAGTGACTACAAATTCAAGCTGGATCAGTCCGAGGCACATTGCGGTGTGCCCAATCGCATGATGCTGCCCAAGGGCAAGAAGGGCGGTCAGGTCTATCAGTTCTTCTACATGGTCTACCCATACCATGAGCCCACTGTCGCGCAGTACACTGGCTACGATCCCATTGTCAGCTGCGGCATTGGACATGGCTCGCGCTATGTAGATGCCCTGCCCTTCGGCTTCCCATTCAATCGGCCGGTGAAGCACGACTACTACTTTGACGTGGACAACTTCAAGTTCTTCGACGTCAAGATCTTCCATCGCGACGAGCACACCAATGTGGTCTAAGCCCAACGAACTCAGACTCTGATCTAATACAATAACATACTTAAGCTCTCTGCACTTCCCTCACTGATCAAATACTCACAATTACCCCCATAGATCGTGTTCAATCCCACTTGTTATGTTGTCAACAACTTGTAATCAATAAACAATTAACGAATTTTAACGACCATAACTCTATAGTATTTAACTGCCGATTCATCTCAATCTTTTAACGGGCCAGTGCTTCCTTAAGGAATCCTCTGCTTGAAGGAATCCTCGGAGCAATAACAGCGTGAAGCAATCAGAAAGCAAATAGGATTACTTATTAGGATTAGGAGTATATTCAACAGGAGCTTTTTAATATAATAATAAGAAAGTTGTTAGGATTTTTGTTTAGCTTTAACATCTTTCAAGCAGTTGCTGCACCCGCTTTATAAGGACTTCCAGCGCTAATAGTAATGTAGCGAGCAATAAGAGAGCTCCATAGGCAACCCAAATCCACTGAAGATCCTCGAAACGGAGTGCCTCCTTGAGTCGTTGGGGCTCACGTTGGATGGGATCAGTGAAGGATAACAAACCCGCCGCAGCCATATCATAGAAATGCATATCGACCCAATGCTGAAACAGTCCGAAATCTCGTGCATCCATAATCAGTCTGGTAATAGGATCCAGGAACCAGGTATTTTTGGGCAGCTGGAATACCATGTGCGTGAGCGTTCGAATGCAGGCATCCATGGAGTACAGAAAGACCTCGCGCGGAAAATACTTTTGCTGTTCGCTCAAGAGCGTCCACTTGAGACGAGAGGCGAAGTAGACATGGCTCTGGTTCATTTTGTCCCTATGGCTGTGGAAGTCGCTGCTATTCATTGGTAGCAGACGCAGATCCAGTTCACTGAAATCGTAACCATTCTCCAAATCTGCGGCATCTATGACCAGCGGCAGCTGCACGCGTTGCACATCCGCAAAGCGGCGTGGCTGAAAGTATTTGGGCGGATGTGTCAGGAGTGTGCCGAGCGCAGCTTCATGAATGGAGCTGACATTGAGTCCAAGCACAGCCAGCATCAGAAAGATGGAGCTGACATAAAGGCTAGTATGCAAAGAATGTCCAAATGATTGACCCAGCACTCCACGCAGCGCGACATCATTGAGCAGCAAGTCCACCAAGTTTGTGGCCTGCCCAGTCAGACACCTGTGCAGATTAAGCAACAGCCCAAAGCCATAGACCATAGCCAGCGCAATGAGCAGGTGGTAAACATTGCCCAGGATGAGGTAGACCTCCTTGATGGGCAGCTGCTGTGCCAGTGGTATCATCAAGCATATACGACTCAGCTCGAAGGGGAAGCTAATGAGGGGCAGCTGTTCCGAGCGCATCAGGTGCACCACGGCGGCTGGCACATCCACTTGGAACTGTTCGACCAGCTTCAGCAGCTCCTTATAATGCAGACTCACACCTGGCTTGATCTGCACGGGAAACTGTATGGTTGCATTCAGCTTCCAGGCCAAGGTGCGCATAAAGCGGCCCACGGAGCCGGC